TAAGTTTTGAAAGAGAATTTTGTGGCATTTCATTCTCATATATTTGTTTTGGTTCTTGTTAGAAAACTGAACCGTCGGGGGTAATTAAACTTCGTCGGGAACGACACGAAGCTTTAGAAAAGATACACATGGAATTGGAAAATTTAAATGACGAATTTAAATTGGTACAAACTAATATTAAGGTGACAGATGATGAAATCAAACTGGCGGAACGTCAAAAGGAACAGGCGGAATATCAAAAGCAATTAGCAGAAATTGATATGGAAATAGCCAAAGTTAAAAGGAGAAATGCAGAAAGGGACAAATATACATATGAAACAAGAGCTTTACAAATTACCCAGGGCATTAATGAAGCTAAAGCTTTTTGGGCTCGCGCAAATCAAAAATGGCTTGACGTGATTAATGAACGACTTCGACAAAATAAAGAAAATCATCGTGGGTAAGTTATCTTCGTAATGAAGAAAATCAGTACTCATGAGAAAATGAGCAGTTTTTCTATCTAACTTCATTTATCTTTATTATCTTTCTAGTCAAGGTGTGCTAACGAACAAGATGGCGACGAAACGTCTGAACAAAGGTGTTGCTGGTCGGTAAACCTAAGCAAGGAACGAAAAGTAAAGTATGAATCTATGGGGGTCGATCAAAGCTGCCTTACTTTTTAATACTTCCTTTCTTTTTTGTTTTTTTCATTTTTTGCGTTCCATGTGTGGCGTAAATTCTTTGTTTTTGATTAATACTTTTTTTATTCGATTTGATTATTCCGATCTGTAAATTTTTTTTTGCTAAAAAATATATTTTTTGTTTTATTTTTTCCTTTGTTGGGGAACGAAATTAAAAAAATTAAGTTTATTCACTCACGCATATTGGTGATTAAAAGAGATGATCGATATATTCAAGATCTGAAAACACAAATAACTACAAATATATAAAAGATTTAGTAAAAGTAAATTATTAAACGAAGACCTTTTGAAATTCTTTTCGTTGAAATCAAAAATTAGATTGAGTTTTTGGAACAAGTTGAATATTGACAATCTTAGTTCTTGAATAAATATGCTTTTCATCATCTTCTTTTTATTTTATGAAACAATGATTTCATTTAAACCAATAAAAAAAAATGAATAACTATGATGAAAGAAACAGAAAAGAAAAACTAACAATTTTTCAAAAAACAGAAATAGAAAAGAAAAACATTAATACACTATACATAATGAGCGAGATCAAGTTGTTGAACAAGTTCTCGATGTTGACTTGACGATAAATGTGCAAATAAATCTGAAGTAAAATTAAAATCCATATCACATAATTGACAAGTAATCTGACACATGAATGTTGTACTAAAATAAAATAAGAATATAATCAAAAACTAAAACAATAAAAATAATTACTAACATTGTTGCTTATTCTCGAAGCCAAATAAGATGATACATCATCTTTAAACGATATTCATTATCAATTTCAACTGTACGTATAATAATATCATCATGACGTGGAAATAATTTAAGATGATCAAGTGAAACATCTTCAGCCATTTTTGGAATACGATCATCAGGATTTAACTAAACAAATAATAAAATATTTCAATAAAATCTTTGAATTTTTATTCTTACTCGATTCCATTGAAATGTTTCAAAATAATTATTTCGATTTGGTGGTCGTTTTGCTTCAAGTAATCTATAATATAAACAAATTACATTAAAATAAAAATTTTTTGAAAATGGAACGACAAGCTTTTGTAAATCAGTAGTAATTATTCGTTGAACTGATCGCATTAAATCTTTATTACCAGCTGATTCTGCACTGTATAATGCTAACTTCATTTGTTTATGAATTTCATTGATCTATAAATAAAGTAAAAAAACAATAAACCAATAAATAATAAAATCCAAAATCAAACCTACTCGAACAAGATCTTCAGTTGATATTTGTACATCAAATCCAATATCCATATCATGATCAGGATAAAGAGAAGTATTTGTAACTGGATTAAATCCAAGACCACATAATACACCTGTTTTCGTTTTACCTTCTTCAGCAAGTCTAAACAAAAGAAAAACAAATTGAATTCTTTTTGAAACGAGAATTTCTTTGTCTATTAACCTTAACTCAATACTTGGCGCAAAAATCATTGCAATTAAAGCTGGTAAACCACGAATAGATGGCGTTAATGTTGTATGACGAAGTGACACAATTTGTCGTGCTTGTGAAAGATGAACACCAAATGCAACAAGTAAACGACGATAATTACAATGTTGTTCTTCTTCTAAATCAACTGAATTTATTGGTTCACCATCAATTTGAACGCGACGCATTTTTGTTGCATAATGACATGAAGAATGATTTACTTCTAATGGTGAATATGGACCACTTAATGTAACAGGCTGACTAAGTTCTTTTCGTTCATAAACTTCACGTAATTCTTTGGGAACATCAATCATTTGTATTGATGTATTACTTGGATCTGTACTTGATGATAAATCATTTATATGACTAACAAATCTTTGAGCATCGCGACGTATTCGATAATCATGCTAAATTAAACAAAATAAAGTTTTTTTGTTGATTGGAGAAATATTGAACAAGTTTCAATTGATCAATGTAAATTTATTATTAAAGAACGATTTTTATTTGAATTTATTTGTTTTAGTACGTGTACTTGAACCATCTTTATTAAAAATTGCTCCTCTAGCATTTGAATGTCAATTATGGGCAATTCGACCAAATTTAGCTCGTTATCCATTAAATAATTGGCCTATTGCAGCACTTAATTTTGTTTGTTCACTTATTCTTGAACGACAAGTTGAAGCAGAAACAAAAGCTGTTGCAAGAAATATAGTTAAATGTGATATATTATTAGATATACAATCAAATCGTAATAATCATAATCAAAATCATCAAAAAAATATAATGAAATAGGAAGAACAGCTCGTCAACAAATNTGACGAGTTGAATGTTGTGGAGCAAATTCAACAAGTGCTCTAGAGTGTTTTTAAAATTAAAAAATATATATATATGAAATGGTCATATTTAGTTTTTTTTTAATATTTACTTTGTATTTTCAAATGTTATTTTCATATCTTCAATATCAACTAATGATTTAAGTTGTTGTTCAATTTGACTTCGATATAAAATTCCTTCATTCAATGGAACATTTCGAATCTAAAAGAGTTTAATTTTGATTTTAAGTTCAAGAAAAATCTCACAAAGATTTATTGATTAAGAATTTTAAAAAACTTGTTTCTTAGACAAAATAAAATGCCTGATAAGATCTTCTATAAGCTAAAGTCGATTGAGTATGAAATTTTTTCGTCTTAAACTTTTTCAAAAATAAATTTTTTATGGATCCTATCGAACTCAATTAGAGGTAGAAGTCTAAACATTAATCACCGACAGTGGTGGCTCTAAGTTTTCGATGATTCTTTTAAAAATCTTCTTGGTTTTGAGAAGTTTTCAACTGTCAATTATAGAAAATGATGATAGAGAACAAACTAATAAAAATCTAGATAGACTATGAAAAAAAATCTGATTTTGAAATTCACAATATCGATTAAAATTAGATTTTTGTTCGCTTGTTTTTGCATAGTAAGATCATCCCAGAAAATTGATCTTCTATACTGAAAATCGGAGATCTTTTTTTTTGCCACATGGGCAGCCAGTCGGGTTATATCTCAAGACTCAATGAAGTCTAGTAGAAGTTTAAGCAAATTGCGAAGTAAGATGAATCATCGATTTTCTTCAATCAGATTTGATGCGACAGAAAACAAAAGAAAGATTTACCATAATTGTTCTGAATCGGTCTTTTGATGATAATTCTCGATCGACTGCTTCAGATTCAATTGGCTCTCGAATAAAATAATTTGGATAAAAAGCACCAGCAATTATAATTTAAATAGGAAAATAGATTGAAAATTATTAATTCAATTAATAAAATAACTTTAAGATTTAATAAATTTTGTTGTTGAAGAATTCAATTTCTTCGTCTTTGCATTTGATCTGACTCAACATCACGTGGTACAAATATATGTAATTGACGTAAACGATTTCGTAATTCATCAACAAGTAAATGTACTTCACGTAAACGTTTTATATCAACATTATGTATTTGTGCCCAACGACGTTCAGCATCAACTGTTCGAAATTGTTGATTATTTTCATGATAAAGCCATGTCTAGAATAAATTCAACAAATATATTTCTACTTTCTCTATTGTTTTTTTTTTTACTTTATAAACATTTAAAAATGCTTGACAATCACAAAATGTTCCAGCAGCAAAATTAANGGACATTGTTTTTCCTATCTGTGAAAAAGTGAAATTTTCTTTGTTGAGTTCATTAGTGCTACTTAATATGGGTTCTTCCTGACCTTGTTCTTATAGATATAAAGCCTGAGGATGCCTCTATCATTGATAAAAAAAATCAGCTTCTTTGCTCGAGCCATAAGGAAGATATTTAATTTTTTTTGGGTAACATGACTTTTGGGCCACCCTGTATTGTATTATTGTCAATGATTTTAGTAACAATTAGAAATGAAAAAATAACGTCCTACTCTTTTTCTTATTTCTCAAAGCATTACAGAGTTAATGAAAAAAATTTCTCACGCATTTTTCTTTTCTGTACTTTGTAAGACCGTAATTAACACAAAAGTACCGTATAGGTGTTATTATGAGCATCAAGTAAGAATTACTCTTAATGCTGAGATATAAATATTAAAATTACATCTAGTTTTTTGGTATTATTTGACATGAAAATTAGTTTATACAAAGATGTTACTATTGACTTAGCATCGTTTTTTATTCTAGAGAATCTACTACTGTTGATCAGATTTTGATGAATTCATAGTTAAAGTTTCAGATGCCAACACTTATGTTCTGTTTTAGAAAAATCATTCTATCATTAGAAACTTTTTAGTTTGAACTTTTCGCAACCTAATCGCAATTGATAAACGTATTAGAAACAAAAGTCATGATAAGTTAGTCTTAACATTTTCATATTAAATAATTCTAATGCCAAATAATATCATAATATGTAGATTTCATTTCATGAATTATGCTTCAAAACATAAGCTATTTTTAAATATTAATACTACTGAGGGCAATGCAACATTAATGTTTTCATCATCTTGCTTTCTTATAGATAGCTTAAAGAAAATTTCTCTCTCTATAGTCTGATAGAGAAAAGGATGCGCTATTTTTCTATGCTATTTGATCATATTTCAAAAAATATCATGGTAATAAGCTTTTGGTAAGATTTGTTTCATTATTATTACGTTCTAATAGCACTAGTGTCTACTTAGTAGATATTTTTTGAATAATTTTTGATAAAAACAAGATAGAAAGTTGTGATTTTCATCGTTCAAAAGAAGAGATACATATACACTGTATCATATATTACACGAGTAGGTTTGTTTTCAAAGATGTTGATGAAAAATCTATAGTATGTGACTCGATGCATCTTCATTTCTGACTTCGAGTGATGGAAACCATTGTTTTCTATTTTATTTATTTAAAAAAAAAATCTACTAAGTACACATTAGTGCTATCAGCACCTATGATAACGAAAAAAATCTTAGCGAAAGTTGATTATTATGATATTTATTGAAATATGTTCAAATAGTATTAAAAAAAAAGAGCATTCATTTCTCTGTCAGACTATATAGAGAGAAATTCTCTTTTCGCTTTTTATACAGAAACATGGTGATTACCCGAAATCGTTGCTGTTTATCGGCAAGTAGAATTCGACCGATGGCTTGACCCTAAAAATAAGGAGACTGTGCAAATGATTCGATAGATTTTTTTCACGTTTTACCATATCACCAAGGCTCATAATAGCAATCGTTATTGTCGATGCTTGTTGTTCTTCCATCATGTGCCGTTGTGACTACTTATCAGTCTTTTTTGCGTTTTCTTATGCCACACTGCTTGTATATGCTGATATGTGTCGAATATTTGCGTTCTCGTTTTTTTGCTTCTGTCATTATGAAAGGTGAATGTAGAGGTGATAAGCATCGATCCATGGTGAGGTATTTGAATTTGCTTCGCATGTCGCAACAAGAACGAAAGACATTTCAACGAAAGCATTATTTTGTCACGTTCTCAACATGGACGCATAATAATACGAAAATTCGGAGAACATCATCGATGCGTTCTTTTGCAGCACAATCGTTCTCGCGAGACTCATGATTACTCTAGATTTTGCATGTTATAGAAGAAGAGATACAAATATGAATAGTGTTCAGATCATAGACAGCAAACCAAAATAGTAAAACTTTCGACAAGTTAGTTGAATAGCAAATTTCAGAAATCAATCGAAAAGCGAAGAAAAAAAATTGATTATTATTGCTGTTTTCAAGATTGTTAGTGTAAAATAATGAGTTCAGAGAATGAACACCAGCAAAACGAAAGAGCTTTTCATTCACATGTGAGTTTTTGTCACACTTCATAAACTAACTTTCTATTGTTTTTTAACGAAAGAAAAAACTTATGAACGATTTCGTTACAATTTTCGCTTTGAGCTTTTTCAAAATGGTCAATTAGATAGACAAGTAGACCATACTCTACAAAGAAAGCTGATTCGAAACAAATAGGTGCAGCGATATCAATAAAAACCTATTCACTTAATGTTTAAACTCAAAAATTGATAACAATATCGACAAATCTTCAAAAGAAGCGTTAGATACAAAATATTTAACGGAAAACAATTGAAAAGAATCAAAGATCCATAAAAAATTAAATTTTCAATCACTTAGTTACAGTCAGAAACTATGAACAAACACGAGAACAATCTTCCCACAACATCTAGACTGCTGTTGTCAAACGCATCATGGTAGTATCTACTCACACAGTCTCACCCAAACACTAGAGTGAATCAGTGGAGACACATCTAAGAAGACTAGTAGAAAACTCATCAGCCAGCTTAAGTTTCAATTTGACTATAATAGAACAGACAGAATGCAAGAGTCATCAAATTTATAAATGAGAAGTTATAGAATTTACTATGAAAGTCACACTATTTTATCACTAAAATGATCAGCACAAAAAATTTTCTACAAAGCCTATAAGTTTTGTCTAATTTGAAGATTGTGACTATAACGGTGGGAAGATGCAGGAACAATCAACCAGCTTAAAAAATAGCCCGCTATCAACAATTTGCGTCGGATTGTTCAGTAGTTGAATGTGTAGAGATGGTCTTCCAGTTTTATGGAGCCTCGCTCTGGGAGGAACAGCGAATTGTGATTTGGCTGCCGGTACCCCGGTAGTGTCAACTCCACATGAGTTTGTCGTATGCAATGTCTACGGGTAGAGGCTTCTCTTTCTACTCAACGGGCCACCCGTTCAACTATGTATAATATTCTTATGCTCGTCTCCGTTAAAACAAGATTCGCACGTTGTCTTTTACTGAGTGTGAGTGTTAGTACGGGTGTGTGGTATGGAGTGTGGATTCTTGCTTCACCGACATCCACATCAATCGACCCACCCACACCCAAATTTCTATATAATGAACAGTTGAGACTTCCATGTACTGATGTGATTCTCGCCGCGATGGACGAAGATCAGCGGAAAACTTTGCTGAAAGATAATAAACTCCCGGCCCGAATGTAAAAGGAAAATGAAGTAGTATGGATGTTTTTTTCTTTCATAGCCCATACCCACACCCATATCCACAGCCTCGATTTTTTTCAATTCCTCAGCAGAAAATATTCACACGGATTGGTCACATTTGTTGATGTCTTCATATGAAGGTCTCCTTTTTGTCATCGCTTTATTGATGTTGTTGCGATAAAAAAGAGTGAGTAATACCGAACACTGGTTTGCTTATACAATGAAAATGAGTTGAAAAAAAAGCATCCAGTGTTTGTTATTGTCAGTCTTTTCTTGTCGCCACAACATCAATAAAAGTGACAAGAAAGAAAAGATTTGCTCTCACGATGATATTAACAAATACTAACAATTTCTTTCCTTGCAAACATGTAGAAGCAAAACTTACGTATAAATAGAGACAGCTAATATCAATGGTAAATATCGTCGACAAACTTTGACTCTACATCAGAATTATATGTCAAGTAGAATACCCTTTAAGGTGTGAAAAAGACTTTTACTTTTAGACATCTTCGGCTTCTGATAGTTAAAAAGTAAAAATTCAATTTATGGTTCTGATTTAAAGCACAAGGGTTCCAATTTCTTGTTGCAGATAGTGGAGAGCTGGGATTAAACGGGAAAAATATTTATTCCTCAAAAACCTTTAATAACAAACTTAAACGAATTTTAGTCATACAGTCGAACCCTCTATAATGAAATGACAAAAATTATAATTTTTGGTAGAAACCGCATCAACACAAACCCGCATATACTTTCTCTTCGAATAACACCCCTTGTATGTGCACAAAACCCCAACGAAAACCACATGAGTACGTTGGGAACTTCCTCTAGTCAGTGAACCATAGTAAGATATCAGACAAATTTATTTGTTTTCGACTCTTTAAGAAGCTATTTCTGACTTTTATACTGGTGAATGTAGCTTGGAATATCTAAGGTGCCCGCAACGCAAAACTCAAGGAATTTTTTTTGCGTTGTTTTACATCATTTGATAGGGTGTGAGCTCCTGATCACGAAAAAGTACTTTTCAGCCTCAGGATCTGCTTTCTTTCGGTCGAAAGCTACAAAGTACTCTAAATGAGTGGCTTTTTCGAAATGTACAAAAATTTCTACTTCGTCCTTTTTTCCGATTCACCATCAAAAACTGTGTATGAACAAGTTGTTAAATCGACTCTAGACCCAAAACTCTATTGATGGTTCCGCTTCGAATCGCGTCGAATGAGATACGTATAGGTCGATTTTGTAAATCAAATTAATTTTTTTCACGTAAGCGATGAAATTAAATATTTCATCGCATTCGATTCATCATGCCATCATTCATAAAGTTACGTACCCTGTTTTTCCTTTTCTTTTCTTCGGCTAGAAAAATCGATTTTACTGACACCATAGGATAAGAGGAAAGGCCATTTGTAAATAAAATGCGTATTTTTTATTCAAATCAAGTGAAAATTTGTTCACATAGGTAAAAACTTATGCCGAATCGAATGGACATGCTTTCGAGGACTCTATAGGATCTTCAAATGGTCTCTGGAAATCATTTTCTGAAGAAAAACATTATTACGAGATGTTTAATGAGATGTGTTTTCCTTTGAGTTACTATCATTTTTAGGAGAACTAAATTGGATTTAGATACCTAGAGAAAGTAAGCGAAAAGTCCAGGCACAAAACGCATTATTTCGTCGACAGGGAAATACGAAGATTTCAGATCCAAGTGATTCATCAAGTGATGAATATTCCATGGATATTGATGATCAAGAATTAACTTCTAATGAGAAACTTTTGTTAATTCACATGGGTGTGGTGGCTGAAATGTGAAAATCAAAAGGCGGTACAAAATATTTGAGTGTATTACTTCATATGTCGTTACGTGATGTCAATATTAAATGGGAAGACATTGATGAATATCTAAAAAGTATTGGTTTTCTGAGAGCACGAACTTCACATAAATGGGCTGCAAAGTTTATCAAAGAGGATTATGAAGAGCTTTTAAATGATTTACGTGGTGGCAAACATACTGATTTGTTTTTTTATAAATTTTCCGAGGTTGAAGCAGATGCTAAAGCATTCGTTGTTGCAGCATATTCACAAAAGTCAGAAGATTTCAAAGCGATAGACCTGGCTTAGTTTATTGATGAAAAGTATTATGAACTAGCGGGAACTAAAAAACAAAGTGGTGACGATTTGATAAGATCCGAAACCACTTATCGCTTGAATCTTCGTAGATGAGGAGTAAAATTCGAAGCGAATTCACAACGTTTATATTTTGAAGGACATGAAAGAGATGTTGTAGTGAAACATCGTAATGACTTTATTAATTATTTTCTAGCGCATAAAAATTCAATTTTTATTACACAGTTACTGATAGTGAAATACTTATGCGGAATATTACCAGCAAAATCCTCAAAGGATACTTATATGTAAGCGCAGTAATCGAAACTTTTTAGATATAATTTCCATTACGCTGTTTTTCGTGTTTATCTTTGCTAGTTCATGATGAGTCAACCTTCAGAAGTGGTGAAGTTAGCCCGAAACGCTAGCTTTTCAAAGAGAATACACCGTTTTTTTTTCGAAAGAATGCGGTCGAAATCACATAGTGTCGGATTTTCTTATTCAACATCTGACCGGACGCTTTTTTGAACTTAGCGAAGATGAATAGAAACAAGCTGTCGGAAAATATAAATCATTAAGTGCCGATGGTGATGTTAATTATCTTGATCGAAAAGTAACAGCTAGTATTAATATTGGAACAGACGCGTATTTCGATAATGATACGATTCTGGGACAGTTTGAAAGGCTACTTCAAATGCTAGAATTCAAACAAGAATAAAAAGGATAATTAAATAGAAATTATTGTGGACAACGCAAGAACTCACACTACCCAATCATATTCATTGCAGGACTTTGGTAAAAGCATTGGCACTCGTTGTTCGGTTGAACAAATCGAATATGTTGATGAAAACGGCACAACACGAATCATTGATTGTTATTTTAAAGGGGGAGAACACAAAGGTAAATCAAAAGATTTAGTTGAACTATGTAAAAATTTGGGTGTACAATTACCAGCTAACATTAAATTAGATGAAATTATTAAAATACTTTCAACACATCAAGCTTTTCAAAATGTAAGTGAATATCATTCCAGCTTTTTCAGGACCTATTCGATCCTATGTCATTTACTTTGTTATTGAGGCTACAAAACTTGAAATGCTAGGAATTAAATAAAAAATTAAGATTATATACTGCCCTAAATATCATTGCGAACTAAGTGCAATTGAAGGTCTTTGGTGCAATCAAAAAGCATTTGTTCGTTCACGAACAGATCAAAGTTTTGAAAAAATGATAAAACTAATATTGGATTCGCGCATACATTTTTTCAAACGAAAAACTGCATCAAAAATTATTTCAGCGTTTTTGGCATTCAATTGAAGCATATTCCCAAGGTCAAACATATGCTGACGTATTAAAACTGTTTTTGAGCCAACTCTGCAAACAATTAGTTCAATCACATCGTAGAATATCAAATAAAAATATAAACGAACATTAATGAGCGTATTTTTTTCTATTTTAATACTTTTATTCTGCATGTTTCCGTTCATATTATATAGCCAAGCATGAATGGTGGCCAATCTATCCATTAAAGATCATGAAATATCGATTAATAGAAAAAAGCTATGTTGTTCAAGAAAAAGTTTTTCAGAGACCCTCTGAAGACTTCATACAGACCTTGAAACTATGTCCATTGGATTTATCATCAGTTTTTACCTATGTGAACAAATTTTCACTTGATTTGAATAAAAAACAAACATTTTATGCAAAAATGACCTCCCCCTTTTTCGTATCACGCTACCACCAATAGAGTTTTGGGCCTAGAATCGATTCAACAACTTGACTGTACTCAGTTTTTGATGCTGAATCTGAAAAAATTATTTTTAGAAGCTGAAAAAAAAGAACGAAGTAGAAAATTTCGCACATTTTGGAAAAGATGAATTTTTTTGAAGAAAACGACACCCTTCGAGTATTTCGTATTTTTCAACCGGAAGGAAGCATTCACTAAGGCTAAAAAGTAGATTTTCATGATCAGCAGCTCAAGTTCTATCAAATGAAGTAAAAAAAAGTCGAAAAAAATTGTTACTTGAATCTCGCATTGCAGGCACCTTACAATTAATGTTTCTATTCAAACCTAGGTTCCTTCTACGTAGTTTTAATTTTTTTGGACCAGAGCTGCTCGTCTGCAAGTGCTTTTCAGGTCACCAGGCCGGGCTGAGTTTTAAGACATTAGCTTTGTCTTCTTCTGTAGGTCTCAGATTAAGCCTGGTCTGTAGGGCAGGCTGACGTTAGTGACTGCATGACACATAGCCAAAATTTTTTGTGTATTGATGGATTCTGATCAGAAGTGGTATTGTAGGTTAAGAATACTTTTGGTAAATTGATTGAAGTTAAAGTTTTACTTCAAACTTTGATCGTGAATGTTAAAATGGCATGATTTGATTCTAAGACGGTTACCTGCTGCATGCCTTAGTTTCCATCATTTTATGCTGGTCTTGTCGTACACTGATTTGTCGATGTTTCACTTCGCTATGTTCTGTGATATATGACAATGATATACATTACTGATATCAAGTTTTGCCGTCCATTATCGTTTGGCATTAACTGCGAAGATTCAAAGTAGTACCTAACTCTTAAAAGTTAAAGTCAACCTAAAAGTCTATATTTATGCTTATTGATAGATGATTCTTTTTAACTAATCTGCTTTTGTTTATAGTTGCATATCAACTTATGGTTTGAGTTAGAATGTATCTCAATAGACAACGCAAATAAATGCACAACAGTAATGGAGCTGACTAATAATAAAATGTCAACTTGATATCATTCAGTGGGCAAAGATAAGAAGATAATATTTCTGACCAACATTAATAGTGTTGCCTATTTTTCGATTTGTTGATTTTTTTCTGACAATACACAGTTTTTCTACATCATCGAACAGTGCTGATGGAATTAGAACTGCTTTGAAAGCATAATTACTTTGCATAGATCAGCCTGTATTTTTGTGCAGTTCTATGTGTTTCGATTTTCTATGTAGTGAAGGAATTTGAAATGTTATCATCGTTATTGAGAATAGCAGACTATATGCTTGAGACTAGTGTTAGATAATAAGAAAGATGTCTGACGTCTATTGTGCAATGTCATCCACAAATCTGGTAAACATATGAAATAAGTTTATTCTATTCTCCAAAAAGCCTACAGGCTAGGACAGGCCGAAAAAACTGGCCTGTTGGCAGTTTCGATTCGAACATCATTTGAAGTAATCCTATATAATCCTATATATTGTTTTTGTCTAAATATTGAACGAAAAAATAGTAGAATGAACCATTATCAAGTAATAATTATTTCTTTTTGATATAAAAATGATGAGGTAAGTACATGTATACTTACTATCATTACTTAAGTACAAGTCCTAAATACAAATTTTCAGTAACTAGTATTTGAACTTGTACTTATTATACTTCTACTTGTCCAGTCTCTGAGTTAATGGAAGTATGTACAATTATAGATTTGCCCTTATCTTCGAAAATAAAAACGATAATAAAGTGTATGTCTTTTGTCACGTTGAGATTTTGTGAGTCTGTATATTTTGATCACTGTTGTATATTGCCTTCTTTCTTGTTTTATTTATATATTTCAACGAACAAAAACATTGTCAATTTAGTTCTTGATGAAACTAAAATATAAAGAACTCATTAATCCTTCCCAGTTTTATACAGATCTTCACATCTAATTTATAGTATTCTTGAAAAGATACTGTCCAAGCCAAAATATACGACTAGTAGGGTATGGGCGTGGTTGTGGTTCTGGATCTAGGCTTTGTTGTGAAGGTGAAGAGAATTCATTGATAAAAATTCACACCCTAAGAATGCATATTTATATAACTGATCGTACAAATTACGAATAGCTCTGAAGTCTATTCGACTGGAGTTTTGTTTTCTCACGGAAAGACGCACACCAGTCTCCAGTGCCAGTTTGAATATGTTGAATTTTTCATATTCTTTTACTTTCTTCTAGTATCAGCCAACATATTCATGATCCTTACAACAACAGATAAGTCAAATACATGGACAACAAAATATATTACAAGTACAATAAGGTCAATTGCAACAACAAATGAATCAATTACAGCAACAAATGGACCAATTTCAGCAACAAATGAATATCGTAATCAATAGTTACCAACAACAACAACATCAGTTATCTATAATGCAACAACAATTAACATATTTAACAAATCAACCACAGTGTAATGACATCGAAATCTTGAATATCGTCATCTTTATGATGGATCACATGATCGATCAAATTTCTCAAATATAAAAAACAATGATGTTCGTGTGTTTATCAGTTCTTTTTTGTATGTAAGATGAGGAAAATAATTTTCTAAACAGTTGATTTATTTTATTTAGAATCATATGCGCTTTTTCTATTGGATCGACAATGATAATCAAAATTTCATCATTATACCTGATGATCATTCCACATATCAAAATTTCATCATTATACCTGATGATCATTCCACATATCAAAATTTCATCATTATACCTGATGATCATTCCACATATCAAAATTTTATTCATGAATCACAATCCCAGGTCCAAGAAAACGTTGTCGTAAATGACCTTAAACGTCGTAATAGCGATATAAAGCGTCGAAAAAACGGCGCCGTAATCCGTCATACCAGATTACAGAAGTCAAACCGGAGAAAAACGATGGCCGTTTTCTAGCGATAAAAGCGTCTCGTAAAACGGCATGACGGATGATGGCGAAATGAGGTCAAAATTAATGCCGTAATTTGTCGTTTTATAGCCGTCTCAGGTCAGATAAGACGCCGTTTGTGACAGTCGAAATGATCGACCTGGGATGTCTTCATTTTATTTAAATATTGTTATACTTAACTGTTTTGGTTGTTTGTCTTGGTTCACAATTAATGTCATTGTTAATTTAATTTCTCTGTTTTTTTTTGTTTTCATTTAGTTTTTCTCTTCAATTTCTGCTAAAGAATAAAAAAGCAATATTCAAAAGCTCAATGATAACAATCACTAATAAACATTCTTGCCATCGGTCTTTTCAGATTCTTGTTTTTCTTTTTCATCAGTCAAGATTCTTTTTAATCTGGACGATCAGACAAGATACGGTGTGGGTATGGGATGTGGAGTGTGGGTGGTTGTAGGTGTAGCTCTTATTCTATCGCTGAAGCATTAACATCCACACCTATACCCACCCACATCCACACCCCTCAAAGATATAGACAATATCTCTATATATTTTTCATAATAGAATGAATTTCCTGCCTCAAACCAACCCAATCTAGCTCCCAGAGATATTGACTGTATCTAAGGGAGAAAAAGCAAAACTTCATCTAGCTCAAAAAAATGTGAAATACACACGAAGTGCACGCCAAGCACGAGTGAAGTACAACTGAACTACGCATTCCTGTGGTCTCATTTTCCCTCTTTGCTATTTATGCACCCATATCAATGATCGATATATGGTCATTGTTATCACAATACGTTGATTTTTCCTCGATCCTAGACGGACAATTTTTTCGAATAAAAACATTTTGGGATATTTTTCAGTTAAATCAACGATTAGATTGGACGCTTTGAACGACATAAAATGATAATTTTCATTCATTATCTTTTTTTGCCATAAATAAACTACTAATGATAAAACTATTGCGAATTGTATTTTGCACAATAAATATAGTTTATAATTGAAACGAATTGATTAAGATATATCTGAATAGCGCAAGAGTAGACGCTTATACTACAAATATAAGTTTCAAACGAAGATATAGTGCTGATTCAGCGCCTAGATTTCTCAAATATATCTTTGAAAAATGCCTATTGATAAATCATGCATCGTTTAATTGTCAATTTTATTATATTCTATACTAGTTCAATAGTGTTCAAATCATAACTATGAATTGGCTTCTGACATAATATCATATTGTATTCTTAACTAAAGAATGTGATTAATAAAGTAAGCAATAATGTACAGACGCCTATTATTCACACAATGAATTTTTCATTTTAACCTTTACTTTGTATTATGAACATCTACTCTTGTATCATTTATGTATATATATATATATATGTCAGCGTCCATACTCGGATTCAGGCCAATCTCAGATTCGCCTGAAAATTGAGCGTCCAATCTCAGATTGGCCTAGGCGAATCTCAGATTGGCCTGATGAATTTACGTCCAATCCGAGATTGGCCTAGGCGAATCTCAGATTGGCCTGATGAATTTACGTCCAATCCGAGATTGGCCTGAATCCGAGATTGGACGCTGACATATATATATCTTCATAAATTTGTTCTAATGGTTAACTCTATACTTTATATGAAAATATGATTCGCAATACTTTTGCCATTGATAGAAAGGTTTCAAGATCTTCTTTTTATTCTATATAACAATAATTTCTTTTAGACTAATACAAAAAATGAGCATTATCAACAATGAAAAAGAAAAGAAAAACTATAACACTTTTTCAAAAAGAAAAAAAGAAAAACAAAGAAAATTATACACAATGAGTGAGATGAAGTTGTCGAACAAGTTCTCGATGTTGACTTGACGATAAATGGGCAAATAAATCTGAAGTGAAATTAAAATCCATATCACATAGTTCACAAGTAATCTGACACATGAAAGTAGTACTAAAATGAAAAAAGAAAACAACCTAAGAAGAAATAGAAACAAAAAAAAAGATTACTGACATTGTTGCTTTTTCTCGAAGCCAAATAAGATGATACATCATCTTCAAACGATATTCATCATCAATTTCAACTGTGCGTGTAATGACATCATCATGAAGTGGAAATAGTTTAAGATGATCAGGTGAAACATCTTCAGCCATTTTTGGAACACGATCATCAGGATTCAACTAAAATATAGACAAATATTTCGATCAATCATTCACTTTTGATTTTTACTCTATTCCATTGAAATGTTCCAAAATAATTGTTTCGATTCGGTGGTCGTTTTGCTTCGAGTAATCTATTGTATAGATGAATTAAATGGAAGAAAAATTTTTTAAAAAATAAGACTAACTTTTGTAATTCACTATTAATTATTCGTCGAACTGATCTCAATAAATCTCTGTTACCAGCTGATTCTGGACTATATAAAGCTAAATTCATTTGTTTACGAATTTCATTGATCTGCAAAAGAAAATATATGTTAATAAATAAGAAAAAAAAAACAAACAAACAAATGAAACATACTCTAACAAGATCTTCAGTTGATATTTGTACATCAAATCCAATATCCATATCATGATCAGGATAGAGAGAAGTATTTGTTACTGGATTATATCCAAGACCACACAATACACCTGTTTTCATTTTTCCTTCTTCATCAAGCCTAAAAATTGACATCGATATTTACTTTGATATCAAAGAAAGATTTGTTTTGTTTTTTGTAATCTACTAACCTTAATTCAATTGTTGGTGCAAAAATCATTGCAATCAAAGCTGGTAAACCACGAATAGATGGCATTAAAGTTGTGTGACGAAGTGAAACAACTTGTCGTGTTTGTAAAAGATGAACACCAAATGCAACAAGTAAACGACGATAATTACAATGCTGTTCTTCTTCTAAACCAACGGAATTTATTGATTCACCATCGATTTGAACACGTCGCATTTTTGTTGCATAATGACATGATGAATGACTTGCTTCTAATGGTGAATATGGACCTAACAATTATAAAAATCAAATCAATTCATGTCAAATTACAACATATTTTTTAATTTACCAGTTAATGTTACAGGTTGACCAATTTCTTTTCGTTCATAAACTTCACATAATTCTTTCGGAATATCAATCATTTGTACTGATGTATTACTTGGATCAGTACTTGAGGATAAATCAGTTGTATGACTAATAAATCGTTGAGCATCACGACGTATTCGATAATCATGCTAAATTCAATTGAAATAGATCAATTTAAAATATGCAAGAAAAAGTTTTTTTTTGATAAAAAAATTTTCTATTGAATATAAAATTTACCTCGAAAATATGTTCTTCATTTGCTGTTTCAGCAAAAGCTTTATTAATTAAATTTTGTCGAAGTGTTGTGCGTCCCATATCATTATATCGTTGATGATGTTGATTTGAATGAGTACGAGTTGATTGCGTATCTAATAGAATATCACATTTAACAATATTTCGTGCAACAGCTTTTATTTCTGCTTCAACATGTCGTTCAAGAATAAGTGAACAAACATAATTAAGTGCTGGAATTGGCCAAGTATTTAATGGATAACGAGCTATATTTGGTCGAATAGACCATAATTGACATTCAAATGCAAGTGGAGCAATTTTTAAAAGAGATGGTTCAAGTGTACGTACTAAACAAAAATTGAACAATAGCAAAAAAACGAATTTTTCTTTTTTAATATAAAATTTACATTGATCAATAGCAATTTGTTCAGTATTTCCCCAATCAACAAAAAATACTTCAACAGTAACATTATCAATTCGATGTGTTACTCTTGCTCGATAATATTGATATCGTTTAACAAGTTGACTATTATTACTATTATTATTATTTGGTGTTGTTGTTGTTGTTGTTCGTGGTGATACAAGAATAAATGGTGCAGCACACATCATACCAATTTCAATTGATGTTGATGTTAATGGAATTAATGGACGTGAAAGTAAATCATTTATTTGTTTCATTTGTGCATTTGTTTCACGATCAACATATTGTGCCCAAAAATGATTTACATCAACAACAGTTGAAACATTTATTGTTAAATATTGACATTTTATATCAGGTAATTTTTGTTGTGGTAATGAATAAATTGTTGCTTAAAAGAAAAGAAAAGAAATTCTTTTATTTAGTTTTTCTTTATTAAATTTATTTTACTTTGTCGTTGAGCTAAACGAAGTAAAGCATCACGATGTTCTTCAAATACATCTCTTTCATTATATAACATATCATTTTGTATTTCTCCTCGAGACATATATAAACGAAGACGTTCAACACGTTGTAATGCTGCTGATCGTTCAAATGTTTGTAAAATTATTTTATGATTTGTTATTCTACGAAGAAGAAAAAAATTTCTTTTTTTTTCTTTTATCGTTTATTTTATATACCGAGCTTTAATAGCAAAATAAACAGCTGGTAAAATATTTGTATGTGATGTAGCTGATGTAACTATTTGATCAATAGGTAATTCAGATGGATTTACAATTTGACGGGTCGAATGTTGTGGAGCAAATTCAACAAGTGCTCTAGGTTTTTTTAAAAGAAAATAAAAAATAAAAATGATTATATTTAATTTGTATATTTATACTTTGTATTTTCAAATGTTATTTTCATATCTTCAATATCAACTAATGATTTAAGTTGTTGTTCAATTTGACTTCGATATAAAATTCCTTCATTCAATGGAACATTTCGAAGCTAAAAGAGAATTCAATTCGATTTCAAGTTTAATCAAAAAATGAGAAAAATTTATTTATTTGAAACATTAGAATTTTTTTAGAGTATTGACAGTGTATCTAAGGTGTCACTAATTCAACATTTTAGTAGAATTCATTTTTTCCTACTCGATGATACAATTATTTCCAAATATTGTCGACGATCTCTATTGAATTATGACGAAAAGGCAAAAATAAATTCTGCTGAGATCTCAGTTCGTACATGTCATAAGCAGCTCATATTTTTTTAATTTGTTAATTTGCTATTGAGATCTTTTATTTTATCTGAACGTGTGCAATATCGTTGAGTTACCATAGACATCCATCCATTATAAAAAGAAAAAATGACCAAGTGTTTCTATAAGATATAGTCAGTTGGATGTGAAACTTATTCATGTTGAACTTGTTAAAAAGAATATTTTGTAGATTTAACCAGAATTAATTAGTATTATAAGTCAAGGCATTGATCGATGGTTGTGACAGGAAGTTTTCGATGACTATTTCGAAAATTTTCTGGATTTTGAGAGATTTTCAAACGACAAAATATAGAAAATGATGGTAGAGAGCGAACTAATAAGACAGTAGATAATCTAACTAAAATAAAATGATTTTAATCCATTGATAAATAAACATAAATCGATTAAAATTAGATTTGTTTTTTTTCTCTCCTACATGGGACGAGCATCCTTCAAAACTAATTTTCTATATCGAAACTTTTCAAAAATGAAACATTTATTTTTGTATCACGGCAATGGTCAGTCAGATGAATGGCTTAATTTTCTATATTTAATGGAGTCTAATATGAGTTTTTGTAAATCGCGAAGGTTAGATTTTATATATAAGAAAGAAAACCTAAAATGAAGATTTACCGTGATTGTTCTCAATGGATCTTTGGATGACAATTCTCGATCGACTGCTTCAGATTCAATCGGTTCTCGAATATAATAATTTGGATAAAAAGCACCAGCAATTATAATCTAGATAGAGAAAAAAAAACATATTGAAAATGTTTTATTTAATTAATAAAATAACTTTAAGATTTAATAAGTTTTGTTGTTGAGCAATTGGATTTCTTCGTCTTTGCATTTGATCTGATTCAACATCACGTGGTACAAATATATGTAATTGACGTAAACGATTTCGTAATTCATCAATAAGTAAATGTACTTCACGTAAACGTTTTATATCAACATTATGTAAATGTGCCCAACGACGTTCAGCATCAGCTGTTCGAAATTGTTGATTACTTTCATGATAAAGCCATGTCTAAAAGAAATTCATCGAATATACAATAACTTTTTTTCTTGCTGTTTGTTTTTTTCTTTACTTTATAAACATTTAAAAATGCTTGACAATCACAAAATGTTCCAGCAGCAAAATTAAATTTACTTCTAAAATAAAATAATGAATTAATAAATAAAAAATAAATATGAAATTACTTATAAGCAGCTAAACGATCTTTATAATAAATTTTAAAAATACTTTTTGTTGATAAACATGCAGCTATAATAACAGCTTCATAAACTAAACCAAATGCATGTCCTAATGCAATTAAACGTGATAATTCAATATCAATTGGTAATGCTGCCATTATTTTTCCAAGATATGTTAAATCTCCATCAAATGGACGAATTTCATCTTGACCCATATGAATTGTTAATGCACCAACCTAAAATGACTTTTTTTTATAGAAATAAAAAGAAAAGTTAATGTTTAACAAACTTCTTTTAATTTAAGAACTGTCACTTCAATATCATTAATATTTGGTGGTTCTAATGCAAGAGCTAATATAGATTTTGGTTCACCAATATTTAATTTTTTTGCTTGAAGAACAACACGATCAAGTGATTCTTGTACAAGTGCAGGTTTTTGATATGCTGAAAGAGAATTATATAAATGTAATTTAACAAGACGATAACATTTTCCATGTGCAACACGACCAGCTCGACCTGAACAAGTAAATATATGAATATTAATAAACAAACAAAATAAAAAGAATTTAAATAGAACCTCGTCGTTGATCACAATTAGCTTTTGATGCCCATACAAGTTGTAAACATGAATAATTTGTTTCAGGATCACAAACCATTTGTTTACCCAAACAAAAATCAATTACTAAAAACGAAATTATTTTTACAATCATTAGTAGGAAAAAAAAATATTTATTAATCTTACCATATCGAACATCGGGAATCGTAATTGAACTTTCAGCTATATTTGTTGCCAAAATTATCTTTCAAAAAAAAAACACAAACAAATTAACAAATAACAAAGAAGAATCTTAAAATATTTGCCAAATACGATCTACACAAAGTGTTGGAATATAGGGATTAACCGTACCATACCTTTTAGCAATCCTTACTTACAGACCACGACAAGTCTGGTCATGGAATTATAGTAGATTGAAAAATTAGATTCATTGTTTTTCATATTTAAATCCTATAGGAACTGCACTAACACCTTTTTATTAGTATTCAGAAGATTTGTTTTTATTTCTATTAAATGTTGAGTTATGGTCTTTCGGGTGCGGGTGTGGTTTTGTGCCGGTGACTGTGATCTTGACTGTATATCTTCTTTAGCCTGATTGACACCCACACCCATACCCTTCTTAATTTCTTCTATTGGGCAATAAATAAATACTAACATAGAGCCACAGAACTGTCATCTTTTTTTGCTTTGATAAATTTTTAATTTTCCATATCCTCAACTACAATTAAGACACTTGACATTGTAAAAGCTCAGATGAATTATTCGAAATAATTGTTTAAATAAATCAATTGACAAGAAATAAATGTTTAAAAATTCTTAAAGTCGAAATTAATATGGAACTGTTGTATCTGTATTCTCAACATATGTTAATAATATCAAAATAAACTTAAATTAGAAGTGTACAGTTTCAATTGACTGACTATTGACACGACCTACTCAGTTTAGTTAGTGCACATCGAATTATTGGAATATATCGCTAGAAAAGGAGCATATTTTGATAGAGTTGATGTTTCAAGACTTCACAGTGAACAACAATATCAGTTTAATCACTGTTCTAGTGAAACTTGTGTCAATAAGTGACGATCAATATTTATAGCAATACTTGAAAACTCCTAACTGAAATAAATCTCTTTATCTGTTCAAGTTTCTATTGAAATATTTTTTAAATTTTCGAATACATATAAAAGTAAATATAAAGTAAAAAATACCTTTCTAAAAGTACTTTTTGCTGGTGTAAAAATGTTCATTTGATCATCCATGGCTAAATCTGAATGTAATGGAATAACATCATAATTAAATTTAATACATTCATCATAATCATCTAAATTAAATTTAGCTGAATCTGGTTTTCCACGTGGAAATCGAAGAGCTTCATGAACTGTTTGAATTTCAAGTAAACCAGGAAGAAAAACAAGTACAGTAGCACGTTTAATAGGTAAATTTTTTGTATGATCCCATCCAGCCATACTATCTTCATCATCAAAACTTTTTATTAATTTAACAGAAAGATCAATTGCTTCACGAGATAAACGTGCTTCACTTAATTTTAAATCTGGTAACTAAAACAACAAAAAATAAAAATAAATAAAAATTTTTCATTGATAAAAGAACAACTAACAAGACCATAATTTTGAATATGTTCTAAATACATATCTTGAACATCAAAAAGTCGATCACCTATTTGAAATTGATAAGCTGGAACAATTTGTCCATTAATAACTTGACGAAAATAATGAGCTAATTTATCTATTTCAATTGTTGCTGACATTAAAATTATTTTAACATTTTGAGAATTTCGAAGCCATAATGTACGAACTAATATTAAGAGAAGATCCATTGGTTGATCACGTTCATGAACCTAAAACAAAAATAAAACATTTCAAAGAAATACGCTTTGTTTTTTTTTTCTTCTAAAATTAATTTAAAATCCTACTTCATCAAGAATAATATGTGTAAAACCTTGTAAAGTTTTTGTTAAAATTAATCTTTCTAAAAGAACACCAGTTGTACAATATAAGATTCTTGTTAATTCACAACATTGTTTATTTAAACTTGTTTGATAACCAACTGTTTGTCCAACAGGCCAATTTCTTGAACGTGATATATGTTCACAAAGTGAACGTGCAGCAATACGTCGTGGTTGCGTTACAACAATATTAACTGGTTTTGAACGTTTAACGTAATCATCTAAAATATATTGAGGAATTTGTGTAGATTTTCCTGATCCTGTATTTCCTTGAATAATTGTTATTGAATTTGTTTCAATAATTGATAATATTTTATCTTTTTGTGCATAAACAGATAATGTTATATCTTGATTAATCCATTGTTTTATTTCTTTATAATCATCAAATGTTTTCAATGCATGTGAGATACCAAGTATTTGTCGAATTTCTTCTTTATCAGCTTCACTTTGTGCACCGTCAGGATCTGTTCGTCCTTCAATATCAGACATATGTTCTTGATCTCGATTTATATTTAATCGAGATAAACGATTATTTATTGATGAACTAACTGTTGTTTCATCATCATTATCACCCAAAACATCTTTATTCCAGCGCTGATAAAAAATATTTATTTCAAAAAGATATCGACTTAATCGTTCAAATTGCTTTCTAACACTTATCAAATGAACATCATCTCGGTTGAAAAGCGATTTGACACTTGAAGAGGTTCTCTCGTCAGCTTTTTAATCCTTCTTCTCTTCAGAATAAACGCTCCATTGTAATTCGAAACTTGGCAATATTAGTCTAGAGGAATGGGACCAAAAGTGTTCTTTACCAATGAAATTAATCGAAAAATATTTATTTCGATGAAATTTTCAAGATATTCTACGGAATACGAATTTAAAAAGATTTCATTAAAATTGTTAAAACTCTGAAAAAGATGTTGATATATGTAAATTCTTGTAATTGACTTATATCGATAAAATGAAATTACAGGTCTTATGAAGAATTTTTGTTTCTTACTTATAAAAATTCATTGTCATATCTTTCTTGAAAATCACGAGCACAAGCTTTTTGATCAATTGGTAATATCTGGAGAAAGCAATATGGAATAATATCAATTTTATTTTTATTTAACTGTTGAACTTCTTTTTGTTGTTGTTCAAATGATGTTGGACGAAGATATTGCACAGTTTTACGTTCATTTGTATTTAATATTGAGTTATCAATCGAATTTGTTGTCGAATTCGGTCGAATTGGAATAATACGAAAATAATTTTCAATATCTTGTGCAGTTAAAGATTCAGTTGTGGAATACAAAGAATTTCCAGGACCATAACTTGAAACAACTGATTTTTGTTTCATCCATATTCGACGATTATTTTGCATTGATGCCGCAATTTTTTTGACGACGATTAGTTGAGTAAAATATTTTCAATTGATATCAGAACGATTAAATAAGATAAATTTTTGGTACAACTGCAGATTTGTCAAACCGCGGCACCCACACTCTTTGATATGCGCTGTCGTTCACACCAATTAGTGTAGAGAGTGTGACGAATGTGCAGTTGAACCCTGTCTAAATCTCTCTTGAACTCATACATTCTAGTTTTATAAAAGATCAATATATTCTTGAATTCCATTGAATCATATAAAATCAAATTAGATTATTCTGTTTTTTTNACTGTAGAAAAAACCCACAATGTACATACTACTTTGAGAATTTCATGACAATAGAAGAAGTTTACAATGTTTTATCTCGATGTTGTATTTTTCTTATATTTTGATCTTCTTTTTTTAGTAGATTAAATTTATCGTTCCTAGTTGAGGCACTTGAAAAACGAAAAATATCTTATCTTTTCAATCTATTGGATTTATTCATTGATACAAAACATTTATATTAAAAAAAAACCATAATTCGAAAGAATCCATCAAGTACTTATTCTTTTCTTAATTCCTTCTATTTGACAATGAATGAATCCTAACATAGAGCGACACAACTGTCATCTATTTTGGCCTTGATAAATTATTAATTTTCCATATCCTCAACTACACTTAAGACAGTTGACATTATAAATAAACTTAAATTAGAAATGTACAGTTTCAATTGACTGCCTATCAACACTACCTACTCAGTTTAGTCAGTGCACATCGAATTATTGGAACATACCGCTAGAAAAGCGAAATATTTTGATAGAGTTGGTGTTTCAAGGCTTCACAGTGAACATCGATGTCAGCTTAATCACTGTCCTAGTGAAACTTATGTCAATAAGTGGCTATCAATATTTATAGCAATGCTTACAAACCCCTAACTGAAATAAATTTCTTTATCTGTTCAAGTTTCTATTGAAATATTTTTTAAATTTTCGAATACATATAAAAGTAAATATAAAGTAAAAAAACCTTTCTAAAAGTACTTTTTGCTGGTACAAAAATGTTCATTTGATCATCCATGGCTAAATCTCAATGTAATGGAATAACATCATAATTAAATTTTATACATTCATCATAATCAACTAAATTAAATTTCGCTGAATCTGGTTTTCCACGTTGAAATCGAAGAGCTTCATGAACTGCTTGAATTTCAAGTAAATCAGGAAGAAAAACAAGTACAGTAGCACGTTTAATAGATAAACTTTTGTATAATACTATCTTCATGATCAAAACTTTTTATTAATTTAACAGCAAGATCAATTGCTTCATGAGATAAATGTGCTTCACTTAATTTTAAATCTGGTAACTAAAACAAAAACTAACAAGGCCATAATTTTGAATATGTTCTCAATACATATCTTGAACATCAAAAAGTCGATCACCTATTTGAAATTGATAAGCTGAAACAATTTGTCCATTAATAACTTGTCGAAAGTAATGAACTAATTTATCTATTTCAATTGTTGCTGACATTAGAATTATTTTAACATTTTGAGAATTTCGAAGCCATAATGTACGAATTAATATTAAGAGAAAATCCATTGGTTGATGACGCTCATGAACCTAAAACAAAAATAAAACATTTCAAAGAAATACGCATTGTTTTTTTCTTCGAAAATTAATTTGAAAATCTACTTCGTCAAGAATTATATGTATAAAACATTGTAAAGTTTTTGTTAAAATTATTCTTACTAAAGAACACCAGTTGTACAATATAAGATTCTTGTTAATTCACAACATTGTTTATTTAAACTTGTTTGATAATCAACTGTTTGTCCAACAGGCCAATTTCTTGAACGTGATATATGTTCACAAAGTGAACGTGCAGCAAAACGTCGTGGTTGTGTTACAATAATATTAACTGGTTTTGAACGTTTAACATAATCATCAAAAATATATTGAGGAATTTGTGTAGATTTTCCTGATCCTGTATTTCCTTGAATAATTGTTATTGAATTTGTTTCAATAATTGATAATATTTTATCTTTTTGTACATAAATAGGTAATGTTGTATCTTGATTAATTCATTGTTTTATTTCCTTATAATCATCAAATGTTTCCAATACATGTGATATACCAAATATTTGTCGAATTTCTTCTTTATCAGTTTCACTTTGTGCACCATCAGGATCTGTTCGTCCTTCAATATCAGACATATGTTCTTGATCTTGATCTCGATTAATATTTAATCGAGATAAACGATTATTTATTGATGAACTAACGGTTGTACTTTCAAATTATTGACTTGTTGAACTACTAATTGTTGTTTCATCATCATTATCACCCAAAACACCTTTATTCCAGCGCTGGAAAAAAAAGCATATTTATTTCAAAAAAATATCAACTTAATCGTTCAAATTGCTTTCTAACATTCATCAAATGAACATCATCTCGGTTGAAAAGCGATTTGGCACTTGAAGAAGTTCTCCCGTCAGCTTTTTAATCCTTCTTCTCTTCAGAATAAACGCTCCATTGTAATTCGAAACTTGACAATATTAGTCTAGAGGAATGAGGTATGTTCAGATTTCCGAAAAAGGAAATTAAAGAAATTTCCGAAGCTTCCATCAAGTCGATAACTACATAGCAAAGCAAATGAAAATATTTTGGAAATATTGGAAAGTTTGGAAATTTTAGAATTTTCTGTAATTTCGAAAATTTCGCTACGTACAGAATTTTCGAAATTTCAGAAATTATATAATTTTGGGAAGTGCCAAACAATTCAGACCACAAGTGCTTGAAATTTCCAAAACTTCCGAAATTTCCTTTTTCGGAAGCCTGAACACTGCTGTTTACAGCTAGTTATACTGATAGAAGTCGATACTGAACTCAAGTTCGAATAAAAATGCGATTTGTAAATTCGAAACAGGCACTTAAAAAAATTTACAAAAACAGAAATATTAAAAAAAAATAAGCTATTTAAATCTATATATATAAAGAAGAATGTCTGTGTGTTTGTTTGTTTGTTTGTTTGTTCGCGATTCACTCAGTCCCTGTAATAGCTAACGTCACCAAACTTTCCACGATTCTTTTCTGGATCCTGGAAAAGATCGACGTCCACTTTTTTCCAAAAATAGTAGATCCTTCGACCAGAAAAGCCTGACTAAGTTGCTAACCAATCAGATTGCAGCATTCGGTACTATAGAACTATAACTGAGCTCCACTTCATGAACACACAGAAAACATGGAACTAGAGGTTTTCGAGGGCCCTGAGTTCGAATATGGGATACATTTCCCTCCAAATCTAATTGGTTGTTTGGAAACCAATAGGAATTCAGCTCTTAGGAAAACAGACCCAAATGTTCATACTTGGAAGGAAATCATGAGGCGCAGGGTTTTCGAGGGCGGTGAGTTCGAATCCGGGGTCCATTTGGCTCCAAATCTGATTGGTTGGCCGAAAATCAATAGGAATTTAGCTCTTGAGAAAACGGGCCAAAACTCTTATACCCNAGGACCTACGTTGCTAAGTGTCTGTAATGGGTCTTCGGTTGCTATGGTGTCTGTAACGGAGAGGGGGCGTCGTGGGAAGCCGCGAAAACTTGACCTTAAAACTTACACTCACTATTTTCTTCGAAAATATATGTGAGTTCCACAAAATAGTGAGTGTAAGTTTTAAGGTCACGTTTTCGCGACTTCCCCCCCCCCCCCCCCCCCCCCCCCTCCCGCATAGACCATGACAGACGTTCCTAATGCATGATTATCGATTATATATCACTACTCTCTCATGAAAGTATATAAACTGCTTCCTTTTGCAGTTCTAGAAGATTAAGTAAAAGTTGATGAAAAATGGGTGCACAGATAGATCGAATAAAACAATATTTTGGTAATTAGTAACAACACCTTTATCGTGTTTCACATTTTAATCCCGCAGAGATTGCGCTAACAGCTTTTTAATTGTAACTCTGCATTTATTTCTTAGGGTATGGGTGTGGATGTGAGTGTTGAGAGAAGACTTATATCCACACGGACACCCTCACGTAAACATTTTATATCAACTTTATGTAAATGTGTCCAACGACGTTCAGTATCAGCTGTTCGAAATTGTTGACTACTTTCATGATAAAGCCATGTCTAAAAGAAATTCATCAAATATACTATAACTTTTTTCGTTATTTTATAAACATTTAAAAAGGCTTGACAATCACAAAATATTCCAGCAGCAAAATTAAATTTACTTCTAAAATCTTATAAGCAGCTAAACAATCTTTATAATAAATTTTAAAAATACTTTTTGTTGATAAACATATAGCTATAATAACAGATTCATAAACTAAACCGAATGCATGTCATAATGCAATTAAACGTGATAATTCAATATCAATTGGTAATGCTGCCATTATTTTTCCAACAAATGGTAAATCTTCATCAAATAGACGAATTTCATCTTGACCCATATGAATTATTAATGCATCAACCTAAAATTTGTTTTCTTATAGAAATAAAAGAAAAATAATGTTTAACAAACTTCTTTTATTTTAAGAACTGTCACTTCAATATCATTAATATTTGGTGTTTCTAATGCAAGAGCTAATATAGATTTTAGTCACCAATATTTAATTTTTTTGCTTGAAGAACAATACGATCAAGTGATTCTTGTACAAGTGCAAGTTTTTGATATGCTGGAAGAGAATTATATAAATGTAATTTAACAAGACGATATAACATTTTCCAAGTGCAACACGATCAGCTCGACCTGAACAAGTAAATATACAAACATTAATAAACAAACCAAATAAAAAGAAATTAAACAGAACCTTGTCGTTGATCACAATTACCTTTTAATCCTCATACAAGTTGTAAACATGAATAAGTTATTTCAGGATCACAAACAATTTCTTTACCTAAACAAAAATCGATTACTAAAAAAAACAATAATTTTTACAATCATTAGTAGAAAAAATAATATTTATTAATCTTACCATATCGAACATCGGTAATTGTAATTGAACTCTCAGCTATATTTGTTGCCAAAATTATCTTTCAAAAAAGAAAACATAAACAAATTAACAAATAACAAAGAAGAATCTGAAAATATTTGTCAAATACGATCTACACAGAGTGTTGGAATACAGGGGTTAACCCCACCACACTTTTTAGATACCATTATTTAGGGACCACGACAAGTCTAGTCATGGAATTAAAGTCGATTGAAAAAATAGATCTACTGTATTTCATATTTAAATTCTGTAGAAACTGCACTAACTCCTTTTTATTAGTTTTCAGAAGGTTTGTTTTTATTTCTATTAAATGTTGAGTTATGGTCTTTCGGATGAGGGTATGGTTTTGTGCCGGTGACTGTGATCTTGACTGTATATCTTCTTTAGCCTGATTGACACCCACACCCACACCCACGCCCTTCTTAATTCCTTCTATTGGGCAATAAATGAATACTAACATAGAGCCACAGAACTGTCATCTTTTTTTGCTTTGATAAATTTTTAATTTTCCATATCCTCAACTACAATTAAGACTCTTGACATTGTAAAAGCTCAAATGAATTCTTCGAAATAATTATTTAAATAAATCAATTAACAAGAAATAAATGTTTAAAAATTCTTAAAGTCGAAATTAATATGGAACTGTTGGATCTGTATTCTCGACATATGTTAATAATACCAAAATAAACTTAAATTAGAAGTGTACAGTTTCAATTGACTGACTATCGACACTACCTACTCAGTTTAGTTAGTGCACATCGAATTATTGGAATATATCGCTAGAAAAGGAGCATATTTTGATAGAGTTAATGTTTCAAGACTTCACAGTGAACAACGATATCAGTTTAATCACTGTTCTAGTGAAACTTGTGTCAATAAGTGACGATCAATATTTATAGCAACACTTGCAAACTCCTAACTGAAATAAATCTCTTTATCTGTTCAAGTTTCTATTGAAATATTTTTAAAATTTTTGAATACATATAAAAGTAAATATAAAGTAAAAAATATCTTTCTAAAAGTATTTTTTGCTGGTGCAAAAATGTTCATTTGATCATCCATGGCTAAAGCTGAATGTAATGGAATAACATCATAATTAAATTTGATATATTCATCATAATCATCTAAATTAAATTTCGCTGAATCTGGTTTTTCACGTGGAAATCGAAGAGCTTCATGAACGGTTTGAATTTCAAGTAAACCAGGAAGAAAAACAAGTATAGTAGCACGTTTAATAGGTAATTTTTTTGTATGATACTATCTTCATGATCAAAACTTTTTATTAATTTAACAGCAAGATCAATTGCTTCACAAGATAAACGTGCTTCACTTAATTTTAAATCTGGTAACTAAAACAAAAACTAACAAGGCCATAATTTTGAATATGTTCTCAATGCATATCTTAAACATTAAAAAGTCGATCACCTATTTGAAATTGATAAGCTGGAACAATTTGTCCATTAATAACTTGTCGAAAGTAATGAACTAATTTATCTATTTCAATTGTTGCTGACATTAAAACTATTTTAACATTTTGAGAATTTCGAAGCCATAATGTACGAATTAATATTAAGAAAAAATCCATTGGTTGACCACGTTCATAAAACTAAAACAAAAATAAAACATTTCAAAGAAATACGCTTTATTTTTTCTTCTTCGAAAATTAATTTGAAAATTTACTTCATCAAGAATAATATGTGTAAAATCTTGTAAAGTTTTTGTTTAAATTAATCTTTCTTAAAGAACACCAGTTGTATAATATAAGATTCTTGTTAATTCACAAAATTGTTTATGTAAACTTGCTTGACAGCCAACTGTTTGTCCACCAGATCAATTTCTTGAACGTGATATATATTCACAAAGTGAACGTGAAGCAATACATCGTAGTTGTGCTACAGCAATATTAACTGATTTTGAATATTTAACATAATCATCTAAAATATATTGAGGAATTTGCGTAGATTTTTCTGATCCTCTTTTTCCTTGAATAATTGTTATTGAATTTGTTTCAATAATTGATAATATTTTATCTTTTTGCGCATCAACGGGTAATGCCGTATCTTGATTAATCAATTGCTTTATTTCTATACAATCATCAAATGTTTCCAACGCATGTGATATACCAAATATTTGTCGAATTTCTTCTTTACCAGTTTCACTTTGTGCACTATCAGGATCTGTTCGTCCTTCAATATCAGACATATGTTCTTGATCTTGATCTCGATTTATATTTAATCGAGATAAACGATTATTTATTGATGAACTAACTGTTGTACTTCCAAATTGTTGACTTGCTGAGCTACTAATTGTTGTTTCATCATCATTTTCACCCAAAACACCTTTATTCCAGCGCTGAAAAAAAAAACATATTTATTTCAAAAAGATATCGACTTAATCGTTCAAATTACTTTTTAACATTCATCAAATGAACCTTATCTCGGTTGAAAAGCGATTTGGTACTTGAAGAGGTTCTCTCGTCATATTTTTAATCCTTCTTCTCTTCAGAATAAGCTCTCCATTGTAATTCGGAACTTGGTAATATTAGGCTCGAGGAATGGGACCAAAACTATTCTTTACCAATGAAATTAATCGAAAAATATTGGTTTCGATGAAATTTTCATGATATTCTACGGAATATGAATCAATGATTTCATTAAAATTGTTAAAACTCTGAAAAAGATGTTGATATATGTAAATTCTTGTAATCGACTTATATCGATAAAATGAAATTACAAATTTTATGAAGAATTTTTGTTTCTTACTTGTAAAAATTCATTGTCATATCTTTGTTGAAAATCACGAGCATAAGCTTTTTGATGAATTGATAATAATTGTTATCTTGAGAAAGCAATATAGAATAATATCAATTTTATTTTTATTTAATTGTTGAACTTCTTTTTGTTGTCGAATTTGATCGAGTTGAAACAACACGAAAATAATTTTCAATATCTTGTGCAGTTAAAGATTCAGTTGTGGAATATAAAGAATTTCCAGAACCATGACTTGGAACAACTGATTTTTGTTTCACCGATGTTAGACGATTATTTTGCATTGATGTCGCCATTTTTCTGACGACGATTAATTGAGTAAAATATTTTCAATTGATATCAAAACGATTAAATAAGATCAATTTTTGGTACAACTGCAGATTCGTCAAACCGCAGCACTCACACTCTTTGATGTGCGCTGTCGTTCACACCAATTAGTGTAGAGAGTGGGACGAATGCGCAGTTGAACTCTGCCAAAGTCTCTCTGGAATTTGTAAATTCTAGTTTTCTATATAAGATCAATATGTATTTATATCCAATTAAATCATGTAAAATCAAATTAGATTATTCTGTTCTGTTTTGATTGATCTTTATATGTTCAGTAACTTATTAACGTACAAACTCCTCAAACGACTGATAGTAGACTTGAAACAAAGAGTTTTGAATGGAAAATAATGCCATTCTCCTTTGTAAAAAATGATGCTCTTAAAAAAAATTGCTCTGTAAGTAGAAAGTGAGAAATGAATTTATTTAGAGATGTATAAAAGAAAGAATCAGGTTTAATATGAAATTCTGTTATGGGTGTGGGTGTGGATGTTTCTCTTCCATCATACCCACACCCACACCCGATTGTTCCGCTTATTTGCTGTTCTCTGAAAAGGATTCTACTTGAAATAATTTTTTTGTTTCTACTTACTAAAATGTTTCCGATTGATCTTCACCAACTGATAACGATCTCAACCTTACTTGCAACTTAATACATCTTGACAATTATAAAACAATGCTATCGTTCACTTGTCGAGTTTATTAGTAAGTTTCAAAGAAATTTCGATTATTTGAAGTCAGGTAGAGAGAGAATTAGATCCTCAATCAAATTCGATATTGTGTCTTCCTCTTAAAACACATGAATAACAAAAGTAATATATGCAGCTAAACCTATTCTGATCTTGTGGTGTCTCCCTTGTATAAATTTATGTCAAATGAATAAAGTACTCTCTGGAAAATAATGTCCATAAAAACAAAATTAACGTTAAAATAAAAATAGGAAACAGTTTTTAAATGGGTATAGATGCATCAATTATCGTGGATACGCAAGGTTGTGATCAAAATGATATTTTTCCTTGAACAGATTCTGTGCTTCTTCGACTCTAATTCCGTTGCCGTCAATCACGAGTGTGATGAGTGCCTGTATTAAAACAGAAAGGAACATATGCAGCGGATAAGAAAAAAAAATGTCTCACGGTATTCGTTTGTAACACTCGAGCCAAATGTTCTAGTCCATTAGCACTGATATGGTTGCCCCCTAAATTAAGTTCTGTAAGCGTCTGTATTGAAATATATTAATAAATGTACAGTTGAAGAGAAGAAAACTTGTCTCACCGTGTTATACTGTAATGCTTTAGTCAAATATTCTGATCCTTCATCATCAATACAATTGTGCGCAAGATCGAGCGTAATGAGTGTCTACTTTGAAACATGATGATAGATTTACATTCTTTCAGAAGGAAACTAATCTCACCGCGTTATGTTGTANCTAACAACATGGGTGTGGGGGGGGGTGTGGGTGTGGGGGTGGGGGTGGGTGTGGGTGTGTGGGTGGGTGGGGGTGTGGGTGGTGTGAGTGTGGGTGTGTGGGTGTGGGTGTGGGTGTGAGCGTGGGTGTGGGTGCGGGTGTGGGTGTTGGTGTGACTGTGGTTGTTAAGATTACTATTCTGTTCTGCCCAGATTCCATACCCCACACCCACACCACGCCGACACCCACACCCACCCACACCCACACCCACATCCACCCACACCCACACCCACATCCACACCCACATCCACACCCACATCCACCCACACCCACATCCACACCCCACACCCACACCCTCCTACACCCAGACCCACACCCACACACACACACCCTCATATCAGTTTATTTTTGGCCGTTTTCTGCTTGGAAAAATCGAAAAAGTTTCCAGTGCTCCTTTTAAATTCATTACTGTTGGATACTTACAAAATCAGGATAGTTTAGTATATACTTAATTACCATACCAACGAAATTACAATTAATATCTAAATATTTATCTGTGACATAATCTAATATTGAAGTATTTAGAAGATGAAACGTCTAGTTTATTTTGATATACAGGAAATAACAAAAAGAAAAACTAATAATCAAGTATTTAAGCATCATTCCTGTATAAACATTTTTCGCTGTTGCAACTAAATCTAAAATGAAAAACAAAACATTTAATATGAAACAAATAACATCTGATTTACCTTCAGTAGAACACCTGAACCATTTGTTTGTAAACGTTTTTCAGTACAATCTAAAACATCTTGACATTATTTACAATTTACTTTAATATCTTCAACTTTTTGTATTAAATAACTAAAACACAAGGAAAATAATATTCTGTTTAAGTAAATAAATAAAGTATTTACTTATCAACAACACGATCTTCAATATCAGCACCTAATGGAAGTGATCGAAGATATTTACATATAGTTGCATTATATAGTTCCTAAAAAAAGAATTTTGTTTTTGTTATTTGAATAATTATAATTGTTTGAATGTCTAAAATACTTGTTGATATGCTTGATTTATTTGAGCAAATGTAGCTTCATCTCTTTGAACATCATTTTGAATATCTAAAACATGTTGTTGTACACGAACAATTTGTTCATGAACATTAACAAATTTGCTTGTTGATGTATGTTCCATATCAGTTAGTAATTGTTCAGTTTCACATAACATTATACTAAAAATATGTATATTTTTTTGTTTTATAAAAATAAAAGCAACGAAAATTGTATTTTACATAAAATTTTCAACAAGATCATTTAACTGTGATGGTAATAATTGATCCATTGGTTCAGATGACTCTTTTGACTTTTGAATAATACTATTAGATCCTATAAACAAAAACAAAAATGCTTATTTTTTTTTTAATTTCGATTAAGTCTAACCGAATGTTGCTGTTGTAAATAAACTAGTTGTACTTGTAGTTGATGTACTAGTTGTTGTAACTGTTGATGGAGGAGCAAAAAAAACCACCAAGACCAGTACTAGTTGTTGCTACAGTTATGGTTGGTATAGTTGACTAAATAAAAGGAAATAATGAAAATAGATCATTTTTTAAAATTGAAAAGGCTATCTTACTAATGTGGCTGCAGTAGTAGTTGCCGTTGCTGTCGTGCTATTTGTGGTAGGTGCTAAAAATCCAGTTGCTGTTGTTGTTGTTGATGATGATGATGCAGCAGGAAATGTAGAACTACTTGATGCACTTGGAGCTATTGGTAATGTTGTTGTAGCTATTGGTTGAGAAAGGAATACTCGAAATAGCATTATTTGATGATGAAGTTGATGTTGTAGTTGTTGCTGCTGGTACAGAAAGAAAACCAGCTGAAATGGGTGTTGCTAATGCTGTTGTTGAAGTAGTAAATGACAAAGGAGCACTTGATGTACTACCGATTGTTATTGTTGTCGTTGTAGAAGGTATTAATGAAGTGAAAGGAGTCACCGTAGTAGAAGCAGCAGTAGGAGCTGTACTTATAGCAGGTGTTATCAATGGAAACAACGGAGCCGCCTAGAAATATAAAAATATTGTATGAAAAAAAAATTATTGTTTCATTGAGAAATTCAGCATAATTTTAATGGATAAAAACTAATAAATTGATCTTTGGTTTTTAAATTACTATTGAAAGTGTCATATATCAATGAATAATTTCAGTTACAAATGAATAAAACTAACTGAAGAAGCAGCTGTAGAAGTTGTCGCTGTAGCAGCAGATGGAGTAGAGAATGACAATGATGGTGTTATTGTCGAACTCGATGATGTTGTTGATGGCATAGCAAAAGGAAAAAGTGTTGAAGTTGGAGCAGATGTTGTAGTCGATACTTGTGTGACAGCGGGTGTTGTTGAGATAGAGAATATCGATGGAGCAATAGCATTAGTATTAGTAGCAGTTGCAGCAATAGTACTATTGGAAGGAGTAGCAAACGAAAAAAGACTAGTTGATGGAGTGACGGTTGTTGTTGTTGTTGTTGTTGTTGTTGAAGTTGTGGTTGTTGAAGTTGTGGTTGTTGGAGCACCAGTAAACGAAAATAGAGTTGATGTCTAAAATAGATAGATAGAATAACAAATTATTCTTGTTTTTTTTTTTTTATTGTAGAAAATTTAATAGAACGATTACCGGTGCATTTGTAGTTGTTGTTGCAGTTGATCCAAAAGGTGTTGTTGATAGATTGCTTGAAAGAAAAAGAGATGACGATGGAAAACTCGTTGAAGTTGCTGTTGTTCCAAAGGATGTTGGCGCAGCAGTAGTAGTACCAAACGGTGTCGTCGTAGACGAACTTGAGCCAAATGTAAATGAAGATGTTGTTGTAATTGGAGCTGTAGCAGCAGCAGGTATTGAACCAAATGTGAGTGTTGGAGGTTGAGTTGAAGTAGTCGTAGTTGTTCTTTCAAAAGAGAATGTTGATAGTTGTGTTGCTGTACTTGTAGATTCAAATGTAAAAGATGGTTGTGTGACTGGAGTTGTACTAGTTGATTCAAATGTAAATGAAGATGGTTGTATAGTAGGTTCTGCAGCTTTTGATCCAAATGAGAACAAACTTGGTGTAGTGCCAGTAGCAGGTGTTGTTGTTGCAGCTAGTGCTGCACTAAATCCGAATTTTCCAGGAGTACCATCATCACCAAATGGTGTACTTGTAGGTGCAGCTGCTGTACTGCTCGAACCAAATGTACATGGACTTGCAGAAGTTGTAGTTGTTGGGACAGTCATTGTTGAACTACTTTCTCGGCAGTGTTTCTAACAGCAAGAGTCAGCCATTGTGACAAAGTAGCAAAGATTCTTGCGAAGTTTAGTTCACACTCTATTTTACGCTTTGCACATGAAAATAAAGTGTCAAGCAGACACTTGCTTAGAATAATTTACACTTTACTTGTCATTGTATACAAGCTCGGTCCTAACTTCTAAATTTTGTGATTAATAGTGATCAGAGCTCCATGTAAAAATCCAGCGCCATAACTCACGTTTACGCACGTTGCGTGCCTCTTCCTTTTTTGTCCATATGAAGTTACTGCGCCAGTGCTTATTCGTTTACTCAGTATCATTCTATGGCCTACTGGACTATGAGAGGAGAATGCATGCACTCCATGCAAGTTTAGATGGCTTCGCATAGGCGTGCGCCATACTGCAGAACGGCGCAGAGCTCTGATAGTGATATATGCGATATTCTGACATCTTCCAGTTAAACTTTGGATTTAGTGGAACTTTTTTCTGTCATTCAAATCTTGTTACTCTTTCATATTTGACATAGCTTTTTAGACTATTTATGTCAATGCTTGGTACGAATTTACTTTGGACTTAGTGCCCTCATCCACAAACAGTGTTGTGTATAGAAAATGTATTCCGCCTTTATAGTAAACTACTGTCTATTTTCATTTTGTGTTTCTTTTAACTGGTTTATGAAATATTAGATAAAAGGATTTTCCATCGAATGCCACAAAATATTTAACGTCGTGTATTTCTGATTCGTCCTTATGTGTAAGTAATTGTCAAGAGTGCTTCCTTATGGCGTAACTCTTTAACTTTAAATTTAAATAAAAATAAAAATAAGAGACCTTAAGACTTTCATTTTCAAAAAGTTAAAGTTAAATTACATTAGTTGAGATTTTTTTGTAAAGAAATTATTTTTTCAAAAAAATAAATGTATGTGAGAAGAGTGATTCTTCTTATGAAGAAATAATCTTTTAACATAAACAATTTTTTATGAAAGAAATGCTATCTTTTTGCAAAAAAATCTTGCGGAAAAAATCTACTTCAATTTTAAAGCTTAAAATGATTAACTTTGACTGAAAGTACAGTGTCAAAGTAGTTTTAAAGTTGAAGGGCGATCATAATCTTGATATCTACAAGATTCACGAGAAAGGGGCCCAAGATCGACGGCTCAAAAGATCAATTGAAAGACATTTTTAGATTCGACCAGAATTTGTAGATTGCAGTGATATTTTTAGAATTAGTAAGGAAAAAAATGAATAAAACACTGAAAATTCGTTTGTCAAAAACTCAAAATTCGCGAAATTGAGATGTGAGCCTTTCTTCCAGTAGGAAAGCTCTGATAAATTCGTATGAAATATTTCTTTTTTTAAAATCCAATTCTAATAATGAACACCTTGGAAACTTTGTGATACTTTGATGACAAAAATAAAATGTCATTTGACTTTTTATTTTAGATTTCTATCAGAAACACTGGTGGTATATTTTATTTTTTGTTTTTAATACATTCTATTACGTGAATGAAAATTGAAATATAAAATGCAGCTAGTCAACCTGTCACATTCGTTAATAGATTTTTTTGTGAACTGAACCAGAGACGTGCACCGCTCGGACGGGTGCGGAGTGCGGGACGGGAACGGCCGCGCCGCGCGAGCGGTCCGTCCGTCCCTCAATGTCAAGTATGACTCATACCTTGTACGGTCCGTCCGTTCGGAAAATTTAGGGTGCGGGACGGAAACGGCCGTTCCGCACGGCTCCTATTTTGATGAAGCGGCCGCGCGACGGGGATTTGATCATGTTAGCAATACAAATTGCTGAATTTTGAAATAGAAAGTACCAGTGAATTTTAATGATTTCCTCCAACAGTTGTATCTTTCTCTCTTAAAACAAAGCAAAAAGAACATCGACTGAGAATTCATTCTTGCAAAAGAAGTAATATATCTTTTTGAGATTTTATTACTAATGACTNTACCAACAGTCTAATTTATTTTTTACAGCTTTTTATATGTCGTTACTTTTCATCTTTTTTCAAATATATCTAAGACAGTTTTTGGGACTAGTCATATATAATTTTGTAGAGAATTTCAAGCGCTATCTTTTAGTATAAAAAGATGTCCCGATCTAATGGATAATAGAAGAGTTATACTCAAAATACGAATGGTATAATTTATTCTGGGACACCCGTTATAAACCAGGAAATCACGCAAGAAAATGGAGATTTGTAATGATCAGTGAAAGACCTAATCTGAGTGAAAGTTTCTTTTCTGAGATCTAATTTGTGAAATATATTGAATCCGTTCGTCGACTTCTATTCCATAGAAATATTAATTCTAACACTAGAGCAGTGCTCCTACTAACAGGTTTCTTAAATAGAAGCAATATGTGCAAACCATGTGTTGCATGTAACATACCGACTATTTTACCTATTTACTCGAAAAAACAATTTGCGAAAAAATAAAACACTGTCTCTGAGATTATCCAATGGAGTTTTCATGGAAGAAGATATTTGAAAACTTGTTCTGATAGTCTAAAATACTCTACTAGTTTTTTTCTTTGAAACTTTAATTTTGAGTTGAGTACCTCTTAGACAAAAAAATCAAAATTATGTTTCGATACTAATATCCTTAATCATTGATAATATAGGTTTTTTTTATCAATCCAAAAAGAGAATTGTTATTTCTTTTCGCTACTATATTATTTGATAAGCATTATTGTTCTAAACTAAGCTATGTTGTTTTTTCTTTTATAAGTATAGAACTATTGACCTAAACTTTGCCAATATGAATACAATATAACGAAACATTTTGTTTCCAATAATGATTGGATACGATGGAACAGATGAGGACTGCGAAAAAACAAGCACAAAGTGTACTCTGGTTCAAATATATTCCCTAAATTCAGAATTCGAAAATTTTGTTTCAAACAAAGCCATCCGTTCACTCGAAATCATGAGCTCTTACTATAACGTTCATATGCTATGGATGATACTCCAAATATAGCTCTACGAATTGTCTGCTGAAAAATACAAAATACATGTAACCAAACGCCCGTCTTTGTGCCCTATGCTGTCAGCCGTGCACTGAAATATACCCTATGTACTTCACTACATGCACCCTCATCATCCAATATATGACGTCGTAGAATTTAGAATTGCAAAATTTGTACTCTGAACTTCATGTAGTCTGACATATTGTCTGTCATTATCCTATGCATTGAGCATGAGTGTGGGCGTCGCCGATGGTCTTCTCTTCATCCACATTCACATCTGGATTCCTTAGGTATTAAAGTACAAAATATCATTTTTCTGCTTCTCTATTCTAAATTTGGAAGTATGTTGACGTTTATTTCTAAGGCCAAAAAAAAAGTAGACTGTAAATAAGTATTAATAACAGAACAGTTGCTAGAAATAGATTTCATGTTAGAGATCTTCGTTTTAATTGCTAAATAGAAACTAAGAAGATGTTTACTGGGATCTACATTCTTCTCGTGATCTCCATGATCAATACTTTGTCTGTAGATGACTCGCAAACTGCTATCCGTAGTTATTTAATTGTAAAAGATGCGTTTGACTTATTTAAAGCAGATGAATATTCGATTTTTAATTCAACAGGAAAACGTTTACAATATTGAATTGAATCTGAGTTTGTATTTGAACATAAGGTTAAAGTTATTGATACAAATGAATTGATAAAACAATAAAAAAAAAAAAGCTTTTTGATATCATCTCTTCAGAACATATTATTGAATGGAATAAACGAAGGATTTTAGTAGAAAAGAAATATATTGCATTACCAATAACATTTGAATATGAACTTGACAGTGAAATTTTGGCTACGACTGGAACGCAAGAGGTTTCATTTAGTTGGACATAGCAATATTATTTACATGTTTTTCCTGATCAATAACCAGATTCGCTTTATGTTCTTGCAGTTGTAGTTAACTATCATAATTACGTAAGTCGAGGCAAAGAATAATGATTAACCAAAATAGATTGACCATTACTATTAATATATATTTTGTTTTTCATGATAAATTAGTATTTTATGTTAATAAATAATCAATTTAATCAATATTTAAAGTAAATGAAATCAAAACATTTGCATGTATTTTAAATTTCACTTCAAGTAATAAATGTATGTTTGTATTGATAGTACTAATAAAAAAATTTTAAAATTCAAGTCAAACTTTTATATCGAATTTGACTCAAAAAATTGAGAAAAAAAACATTAAACACATTATATAAATACTCTAAAAACACACAATTCGATGGTTTATGTCAAATCTTACTGAAAGATATTAGTTATTCATCTATTCTACTGTTACAATTAGAATTTCATCAAAGCCAAACAGTTAAGTTCGAATTCAATTTCCATCATTGTCAATTAACTAAGACAATAAAATAGAAATAAATCGACTGAAAAAACAATGCAAAAGCTAAAAGGCTATAGAAATCCAAGAAAAAATGGCAATAATAGTCAAGAATATACAAATTAATTCAATGTGTTCGACGCTTTCGGATAAGACCAAGCCATTCGAAAAACATCTCAATATTTATCTAATTACTGAATATTATCTGAATCGTTTTGAGAATAGCAGTGATATATCTATGATTTTGAAAAATAAGAACAATTATGATCATAAGACGTGAAGGTATGATTGCCAGCAAGACTCTCAAAATTCGTCACTGTTGAATAAGTTACAGAATCTAAATGGTTCGGTGTATTCTCAATTACAATGTGAACGAAACTGGAACTAATATCTAAAGATTTATCAATGAAATACTTGAAAATAATGGAACTTATTATCATTGAGTTTATCTTGATTAAATATATTTTCTTATTTAAATTTGGGATTTATCGAAACTAAATTAGATTAAAGAAAAAAAAAATCTAATATTGAAGTATTCAGAAGATGAAATGCCTAGTTTATTTTAATATACAGAATAATAACAAAAAAAGAAAATCTAATAATAAAGTATTTAAGAATCGTTAGAATTATTTTGATGACCAAGAATACGATATTTAACATCCTAGAAGAGAAAACAAATAAACAAAAAAAAAAAAAAACGAACACTAGTTGAATAATCTTACTTCGACCATTTTATGCGTTTGATTAGCTTTTGAACCAGCTGTTATCATTCCTGTATAAACATTTTTCGCTGTTGCAACCAAATCTAAATAAAGACAAATATTTAAAATGAAACAAATAACTTCTGATTTACCTTCGGTAGTAACACCTAAACCATTTGTTTGTAAACGTTTTTCAGCACAATCTAAAACATCTTGACATTGTTTATAATTTATTTTAATATCTTCAACTTTTTGCATCAAATAACTAAAAAACAAAGAAAATAATATTCTATTGAAATAAGTAAATAAATAAATAATTTACTTATCAACAACACGATCTTCAATATCAGCACCTAATGGAAGTGATCGAAGATATTTACAAATAGTTGCATTATAAAGTTCCTAGAAAAAAAAATTTTTCCTTTTCTAATGATTGTGATTTATTGAATGTCTAATTTACTTGTTGATATGCTTGATTAATTTGAGCAAATGTAGCTTCATCTCTTTGAACATCACTTTGAATATCTAAAACATGTTGTTGTACACGTACAATTTGTTCATGAACATTAACAAATTTGCTTGTTGATGTATGTTCCATATCAGTTAATAATTGTTCAGTTTCATATAACATTGTACTAAAAATATTTATATTTTTTTTTTGTTTTATGGAAAAAAAACAAAGAAAATATTTTTTTTTTACATAAAATTGTCAACAAGATCATTTAATTGTGATGGTAATAATTGATCCATTGGTTCAGATGATTCTTTTGGTTTTTGAATACTTGTTGAACCTTTAAATAAAAAGATAAATATTTATTGTTATTTCGATTGAGTCTAACCGAGCGTTGGTGTTGTCAATAAACTAGTTGTACTTGCAGTTGATGCACTAGTTGTTGCAACTGTTGATGGAGGATAAAAATAACCACCAAGACCAGTACTAGTTGTTCCTGTTGTTGTTGCTGGAGTTATTGTTGGTATAGTTGACTAAATAAAAGAAAATAATGAAAATAGATCATTTTTAAAAATTGAAAAGAATCTCTTACTAATGTTGTTGTGCTACCAGTACTTGCAGTTGTTGTTGCGCTACTTGCTGTCGGTGCTACAAATCCACTTGTTGTTGTTGTTGATGCAACAGGAAATGTGGAAATACTTGATGTACTTGTAGATATAGGAAATGTTGTTGTTGTTATTGGTTGAGCAAGAATACTCGAAATAGCATTATTTGATGAGGAAGTTGATGCTGATGTTGTTGTTGCTGTTGGTACAGGATGAAAACCAGCTGAAGTAGGGCTTGATTGTGCTGTTGCTAAAGGATGAAATGACAAAGGAGCACTTGATGTAGCACCGGTTGTTGTTGTTGCAGGAGCGAATACTGAAGTAGCAGGAGTTGTTGTAGTAGAAGCAGCAGGAACAGCTGTACTTGTAGTAGACGTCACTGATGGAAACAACGGAGTTGCCTAGAAATACAATAATATTCGATTACAAAAACTTATCGTTTCATTTATAAATTTTTGTGAATCTAATAAATAAAAAATAATAAATTGATTTTTTGTTATTAAATAACTATTGAAAGAAAAATCTTATTTCTTCGCTGAAATGGTTCAAATGAAAGAATCATATTGAATAAATAATTTTAGTTAAGAATAAATAAAACTAACCGAATGAGTAGCTACAGAAGTTGTTGCTGTAGTAGCAGATGGGGTAGAGAACGGAAATAATGGTGTTCCTGTCGAACTCGACGATGTTGTTGATGGTGTACCAACTGAAAAAGATGTTAAAGTTGGAGCAGATGTTAAAGTTGACGCTTTTGTGACAGCAGGTGCTGTTGAGAAAGAGAATGTTGACGAAGGAGCAGCAGTAGTATTAGCAGTTGTTGTAGCAGTAGCAGCAATAGTGCTGCTTGCAGGAGTAGGAAATGAAAAAAGAGAAGACGACGGAGTTGCGGCTGTTGTTGATGTTGTGACTGTTGGAGCACTAGTAAAAGGAAGAAGAGTTGGCGCCTAAAAGAAATGCATAGAGTAATGAATTATGCTTGTTTTCATTGGTTGCACAAAAACTTGAAAGAAATATTACCGGTGCATTTGTTGTTGGTGGTGCGGCTGATGCAAAAGGTGTTGTTGATGGATTGCTTGGAGTAAAAAGAGATGACGATGAAAAACCTGTTGAAGGTACAGCTGCTGTTGTTGCTGGTGTTATTCCAAAGGATGTCGTTCCAAAGGATGTTGGTGCGGTAGTACTAGTACCAAATGGTGTCTTCGTCGATGAACTTGCACCAAATGTAAATGAAGAAGTGGTTGTAGGTGGAGCCGTAGCAGTAGTAGTAGCAGGTGTTGAACCAAATCCGAATGTTGGAGGTTGAGTTGAAGTAGTCGCAGTTGTTCCTCCAAAAGGAAATGTCGATGATTGTGTTGAAGGTGCTGTACTTGTCGATCCAAATGTAAAAGACGGTTGTATTGCTGGAGTTGTACTGGTTGATCCAAATGCAAATGAGGATGGTTGTGTGGTAGGTGCTGCTGTAGCTGTTGATCCAAATGTAAATGTAGAAGGCTGAGCTGTTGAAGTTGCAGGAGTTGATCCAAATGTATAGGAAGATGCTTGAGTAGTAGGAACTGCACCTGCTGAACCGAATGAGAACATATTTGATGTAGTACCAGTAGAAGCTGTTGTTGCTGGAGCTGGTGCTGCACCAAATCCGAATGTTCCAGTTGTACCACCACCAAATGGTGCACTTGTAGATGAACCTGTCGTACTGCTGGAACCAAATGAAAATGGACTTGCAGAAGCTGTAGTGGTAGGAGCAGTCGTTGTCGAACTACTGCCGAATGTAAATGGACTAGCACTTGCCGTAGTCGTATTTGTCGATGCACCAAATGAAAACATTTTTCTAAATTATTCAATTTGAACTTGATAAAAGGAAAAGAAAGATTGAACAATGAAATATTATTTATTTCAATGAAAATTATTTCTATTTGTCGTAATGATAATTGAAAGAAATGAATGAGTCACTTGCAAGAATATTTATTAACTAAGAATTACCAGTCAAAATGCTTGAATAAACCTCTCGAATTTATTCAAGTTAAAAAAACTTTTATCCAGTTTAACCTTTATTGTTGAAAAAAAATATGAAAAACTACATACACAAAAAAAAGTTTCTAAAATTCACTGTTAATATTCATACAAAAGATGTCGCTATCGCATATTGTGAATGTATCAATCCAGCATTCGTACTTTTAGTTTAAAAGCAACATTTGGTAGATATGACGACGTTTTCGAGTGTCACCAGAAGGTATTTCGCATCTATTTTACGAATTTGTGAGATAAAAATCTGTATATAAATGAAGTTGATCATTTTAAAATCTTAGTCAAAAATTCATTTCCATGAAAATACTTTGTCTATTCGATTTAATGAAAAACGGTAAACTTCAATGGAATTTTCTCTACATTCTTATGCAAGACTAGTTTAGTTTCTTGCCTTTCTTTTATTATTGGTACATAGCAAAAAAGTATAGAGTTCACTGAATAATATGGTGTATTGATCGTAAATAACATAAAAAGCTGAACGAATAAAAAATATAGAAGAGAACGAAGTTTACAAGTTTAATTATTGTTGGAATATTTCAAATATCATCGTTGTAAAGCTGTTCATCTACATAGTAAAACACAGAAAAGATATTTGATTAATAAAAATGTTGGAAAAAATTCAACTTGCAATTAGTCGATATTGTTTTGCGACGTGGATAGTATTTCTTACAGAAACATTAATTTTGTTCTCTTTTCTGTCTAAGTAACTTCAAATTAATGCTTGTATTATTTTGTAAGTACGACCAAGCATAGGGATAAAACTAAGAGAAAGGCGAGAAATGCATATTCATAAGAAATATTATGAATCGACAGAAATCAGAATTGAGAATTTCATAATTAAGTGCGATCTCGACTTTTTCATATCAATATACAATTAAAAAAGATACTACCTTTTCTCTTATGCATTTCTTTATTCTTTAGCTGTATATTAATAATTGAAAGAAAAGCAAAGTACAATAGTCATGCGAAAGAAAAATAAAATGGAAGAGAACATGGACTATTCTTTCAAAAAAGATAGGTTCTCTGCAATATTTCGTCACTGAAATATGGAAGAAAAAACAATAAATACAAAACTTCTGCCTCGTTTGTTACTTTTCAATTTCGATAAAACAACAAAAATTATGAAGGATGTGATAGCCTTTTTTCGAAATCAATTACGAAAAGCTGTTGGATTTCTTCAAATGCTACCATGAAAATATCTAACAAAACCATCGATAATTAATCGAGATCGTTGTTCATCATTTTTTGTGTTCGAATGAAAATTCTACTATTCATAATTTATATTTGTAGAATGGCATAAATCAACATAAAATAAATAATATTTTGATGAGAAATGATACTTTTGACGAAAATCATTCATAAGCTTTTGACACTCTCATTATTAAAGAAGTCGAATGATAAAGAGTACTTTAACCCTGAAACGCTCACCTTTCGGTCGGGATGAGAAAGTTATTGTTATTTTTTGTTATTAATAACAATAACATTAACGGTTTTTTCGAAAACATCAATGAAATAAGTCTAAGTATCGTTTGTACGAACGTCAAAGGATTACTTTATTCATATAGTATCTTTTTCTACCATTTGATATGAGAACTTGCCGTAAATATTATGAGAAATGCTAACATAACGTAATTTGTTATTGTTATTGCTATATAACAATAACAATAACAAATTATGTTGTGTTACTGTTTCTCAAAATCTTTACGACAAGTTCTTATATCAAATGGTAGGAAAAGATACTGTATGAATAAAGTGATCCTTTGACGTTCATACGAACTATGTTTTAGATTTTTTTCATTGACTTTTTTTTAATCAAAAGGCTAATGTTATTGTCATTAATAACAAAAAAATAACAATAACTTTCTCACCCCTACCTTTCGAAATACTAATTGTTGATTGTCTGGTGTCCGTACGAACCCCAGCCAAATAGAATAGAAACGATATACTATATTTCTTTTCTGCTTAGAACTGAAATTTCAGCAACATTCAATGTAGCTCGACACTTATCGTTCGTGAAGTAATGCTCTTTTTTTTACAGCATCGGTGTGATTGATTTTTGTTAACTGCGTACCCTACTAGATGTTCCTAAAGTATATATGGAACAACAAGATTCTATCTATGACTACAATTACAAAACATTAAAACGAATTCCACTGGAATCCGAGTGAACCCCTGGTGGGCAACAAGAGCTCACATGTACTTCGAAATAATTTATCACATAAATAGACTAGTGATGAACGTTGTTGATACAACATTAAAATGAAATTAGTTGGAGTCCATGTAGATTCCAGACAGGCTTCGCGCGAGCGGGAGGGTGTACACTACCCCAATAATCGAAATTTTTCAATTTTTTCCAGTGAAAGGTGCGGAGTTTTTTCTACATTTTACACTATCTCTACGAAATTTTTCGAACATATTCTCTTACATCCCTCCAATTTTCGTGTCTTCGCCGGAGAACTGACCCCCGGTGGGCGTTTCAGAGTTCAAGAACAAAAAATAAATTATGTTTTCTGTTTAACAAATCTCGTTATCTATGCGTTTATCTTTGAAATTTATTATAGATTTAAAATATGAAAAATTTTTGTTGATTATTTTATAAAGATTAACTTCGATTGATTTCGTTATTAATAATTGTTGAAGTCTTTCGTGATATATTCTTTTAGATAATTATTACTCGATTTATTTTTTGATCATCAGTCTTCTAAATTAATTTCATGAAAAAGTATCCATCGAATGTCATTATTCGATTTATTGTGTGATGTCTCAATAAGAACATAATGAATAATCTGTGTGAGTTTCGAGACGCAGAAGAATAAATGACATTTTTTTCATGTTCACATTGAATGAAAACTAATCAGTTAATTAGATTTTATTTATTTCTATAAAGAAAGGACTAATTTTCATCTCGCAGTGTATAAATTTAGAAAATTATTCTTTTTTCCTAAACAAATAATATTTGAATATTAAAAAAAAATATAATCTTTATTTTTGTTTGAAATCTTGTATGATTTTTTATTGAGATTCTTTATTAAAATGGTATGTTGATTAAATAAGAATAAAAAAACAAGATTATTTTCTTCAAAAAGTGTGATAAAAATTATTTTACTAATCGATGAGATTTGATGGGAACGAGTCAATAACATATCGACGAATTTCTCATCAATATTCCTATTCTATAAATTATGTCATAAATAAACAGTATTTTTCAAATGTCTATAGAATTAAGTAACTGACTTTTGAATTTCAACACCAAGAATCATTTATTCGGGATATATGGCTTTGATTTTTTCTTCACTGATACAATCATCCTACACATTCCACATCTAGGCCAACATCCAAATTCATAGTTTTTTTTTGTTAAACTCTAATTTTCAATCAAATATTACTCGATTGTTTCTCGAGTTAAAAAAAAGTCCAATCGAGATTTTCGAAAAAAAAAATATTTTAACGTAAATGTCGAAACTAATCTTTTTATTAATGATTCTTAACAATATAAAGATGATAAATCAAAATCTGAGAGATCATTGGAGAAAATAGTTAAAATCAAAAAAATAATAAATCATGTTAATAGTCAATCGATTTGGTTGATATTTTTGAGTTCTAATGGTTTGTTAGTATTCTTTTTCCAGCCATACTTGAATAGATCGATTATCAGCTGTTATTGAGAATTTTTTTTCTTTTTCACGAAGCCGCTGAATCATTTTTGTCCAAGTTGTTGGCGAATTTCAATCACATATAAATGTAATAGTGGATAAATGTTCGACGATCAATTTCATGGCATTAATATCTAACGATTGTATTGTGAGATGAGCAATTTGAGGAGATATTGCAGCCCATTCATCTTCTATATTCCCTCGTGAAACTACCGTTGTTCTTTATTCCGAAAGTATGAACATTGGGTGCTTTTTCGAGTATAGCATTGATTTTACTTGCTTGCAAATTTTGTTTACATGATAAAAAGAACTAAAATTTCTTCAATTGTGAAAGTTTGACCAACTTCGAAAGAAGTTCAAATGAACCGGATCGCTGCCAATCATCATACCAATCAATGTCAAGTTCAAATTGAATCACATTATTGAACAAATAATGATTTGAAATTTTGAACTAGAAAGAAAAATAGACAAAAATAAATAATTTCATTTGTAAAATTATCTTTGGAACGACTTCAATTTTTATTATTAGTAGTAAAAATCAACGGTAATACTTACCTGACGAAAATCGATAGCTTGCATAACTTCTGGTAGATTGAAGAAAGCATTCCACACATTGTGCATCTTTAGTCTATTATCATCTTTTGTAGTAGAATTGAAGTACGATATAAGATTTTGCTCGAAATTTTGAAAAAAAATCAACATGTCCGTTGATCGAAGAATAAAGAATAAGTCGACATACTTCGTTATTAATGACATATTGAAATTTTACATACCAACGTTTATCTTCAAGTCAGAATGATGTTCGAAATGCAGCAATAATCGATTCATTATTTGCTAAGTTTTGATAGCGATGTAATCGAGTAGAAATTTTAAAACGAAAATATTTAAGTCGAGGCAATTTCTCACGAAGAAAATATTTCCATTGTGAGAAACGTTGTAGAATTTGAAATGAAGAAATATTATTTGTGAAGTAAACAAGCGATGGATGAGATAAAAGAAGAATTTTCTGTTGATCGATCGAAAATCGAATGTCATTCAATGTTAATGAAATCAATTGTTGATATGTGATTGTTGAAGAAATAGTTTTGTCGATATTATTCATGTCAAAAAATGCTGTTGAGGCAATTCAAAGATTTGATGAATGAT